TTATTTTTATTATTTTATTACTTCCCTTCTATCAATTCCGGTTCAGCGATTCTGCACTTGCTCTATTACTACAGTACTATATTATTATGTTTTATTTTTATTATTTTATTACTTCCCTTCTATCAATTCCGGTTCAGCGATTCTGCACTTGCTCTATTACTATAGTACTATACCGCCTTCAACTTTTATGAACGACTGGGTGTTTAAGGTTAGCGATTTGTCGTATTATCTGGCTGTATAGCGAATGAAAAAATACAATTACTTTACTATGCAAGTAAAATAATGCGTGTTTTAATATTAATGATTTTATCTTAACTTTGGAGCTTTCGTGACTGCATGAATTATTCTTTGGTTCTTTCGGTAAAGTCACGTATAAAGAAAAAATAATAAATATTTAATTTATTATTTTTTCTTTATACGTGACTTTACCGAAAGAACCAAAGAATTCATGATTTTTTTTTCTTTTAGGGCCCCTTGATAACACGTGCTACAGGCCCTGCAATAGCTTAATCCGGCACTGGGGGGTGGGTGGGGTTGTTGTGGCGTGGCAAGCGGTCGCTGGTGGTTGTTGTCGGTGTCGGAAGAGTGGTGAGCAGTGGCAGCCGTAGGGGGGGAAACTGCCCGCTGAGGACTCAACGCCGCTCGCGAGTCAAACCCCGATGCATGCAAAGTTGTGGGGAGGACTTCTTCGTGCAACAATAAAACGGGTCAACACACTTTTTCTGGCATAAGGTATTCCAACGGTGTTAAGGTAATTTTGAGGTGCTGATTCCAAATCTGGCATCAGTTTTTGTCTATCACATCAGGTTGTTGAGATAACAAATTTTGCATTTTCAAGAAAAACTGCAGAAGAAAAATATTAAATAAATGTGGATATCTACATAAAATGATATTATAAACACACTATCCTAAAAATACAGCACCATATTTTAACACTAAAGCAGTCACTGACTCGAAACAACTTGCAATCATAAGCGACAGAGTTAATTTCTGGTAAAATCAATGAAAATGGGGTATGCCGATAGCATCAAAATGAGATGTGATAGAGCAAATCTGAGATCAGATTTGGAATCAGCACCCTGAAATTAGTCTAGAACAGCTGCAAAAGTCCAGGCCAGAAAAAAAAAATTATTGACCAGTGTAATGAAATCGACGGTGGCTACTGCTTTGGGGTAGATCCTTCGTTGACAAGGTGGGGGGAGGGGGAAAGACTTCCTTGCGTCCGACTCGTGCCGGTGTTACGGGTAACGCAGCGGCGGTGTCGTCACCACGGGAGGACAGACGCACTGAGACGTGCCCCCCCCGTGAATTGAAGCTCAAACCCCCCCCCACCCCAAGGGGAATCTGCGTGCACGAACGCAGAGCGGCCCCCAGCGGGAGCGTGCGACAAACAACAAACAACAAAATCGGGAGCGTTGATGCGATGGCTCGTCGAGATAAGAGGCTTTATGTAAAATTGTCTCACGGAGCGCTTGATATCTTGATAGATGTTGTTTATGGGTTGTTTTGGTTTTAACATACGAGATAAAAGGCTTTGTGGGTCTCGTGTCCACCTTTCGCCTCGCCCATCACACACACACCCAACCGGGCTTGCAAATTATTCCACTTTTCGTGGACAGGCGGAATGGATTGAAATTGTTTTCACCGCTACGCGGATGAAACGCGGCTGGCTGCACGTGTCCTTTGTGCCCGGACAAGATGTAGCCATCTCGACTTCTCGGCAAAAATGCACTTTGGTGTGTGTTGAGAGGGCCCTCATAATTGAGAAGCGTTTGTGGAGCGGGCTAGCGCTGCGCTACGAACCCAGCGACCCACATTCGAGTCTCGCTCGCGGCCGACACCGGTGACGATTTTATCTGGACCGGCGCTGGGCCTCCTCTAGGTCCACTCAGCCTCAAATGAGAAGCTGGTGCAGTGTCTAAAAAAATGATCGCCACTGGGAAGACAAAGGCAGCCGGGTGTGGTGCTGTTACCACCCACCTCCTCGTGTGCCGCGCCGGCCTTCATAGGTGGTAGTCGCTAACAGCACTTGCCCCAACAGTCTGTCACAGGCTATACGGGGGATCTTTGTCTTTGTCACAGTAGCGTACGAGTGCAGGTCGTGAATGGCGGCTAAGGTTGGCAGGAACTTCTCGATAGATGGCTTATATATGTGAGCCATTCAACATAAAAATTCTTCAGTATAACACAGAGAAAGCAAGCTTGAGAAATTGTGTTTTTTTTATTTTTCATCGGGTTAGAATCAAACGCCGTGGCAACATCTTGCTTCAGCGTTTGCACAAACAAACACACACGCACGAGAGAGAGAGACCGGCGCACGCAGTGAGTAGCGCAGTGCGTGCAAAAGCCTCGGGGTGCGTTCATCAACGTGCGCGGTCGCTTCCAACGCCGACCAGAAACAAAGGGGGGGGGGGAAATCACCTCCATACACATTCGAGCGACCTTATTCTACCCAAGAGGAAACAATATTATTGAATTTGAGAAGTTAAAAAATTATAAAAAAAAAGGATTAAAAATAACAGACTAAACCCAACCTGGCCACGATTTGTATCGGCACTAACACGGGTGACCTTTGACTCACATTTATATTCTGGGAATCTTTCGGCGCGCGTTATTTTTTGTCCCTTGAAGTCGGGCTGAACGATTAATGGATTTCAAATCGAAATTTGAAAGAATTCGATTAGCAAATCGTAAAGGCTGCGATTTTTTGCGACTTGAAAAGTCCTATGACTTTATTTTTATTATTACGACTTTATTTAGCTTAATGATTATTCTATGTTTGATTGTTCTATTTCAATGAAAACATTTTAATAAATGCATTCTGGAAGCAATTCATATCTTTTAAGTTCTCATCCTTGCATTAGAATATACAGTATAGAGCAGTTCATAATATTTTGATGGTATCACGTGGTAATGCTCCATCACGTGTTTAAATCTATTACACAGTCAATATTGAACTGAAACTTGACTTTGAAAAAATGTATCGAAAATCAAATCGCAATATATCAGAAAAAACGCAATTTGATATTTTCCCCAAATCGTTCAGCCCTACCTTGAAGTAGAAGTTACAAAGTATATAGATATATAAAAATTTATATAAAAAACACCAATGTCATTGAAAGTTCACGTCTGCCGGCTCCTGTGCCGTTTTGTGCGGCGGGAGACCGCGGGGTCTGTGGGGTGGTGTGATGTGGTGGGGTGGTGGGGGGTGGTGTGATGTGGTGTGGTGTGATGGGGTGGTTGTGGTGGGGCTGTGGTGGTGTGGTGGGGTGGGTGTGTGTGTGGTGGGGGGGTGTGATGTGGTGGGGTGGGGTGGTGTGATGTGGTGGGGTGGTGTGATGTGGTGTGGTGGGGTGGGGTGGGTGGTGTGATGTGGTGGGGTGGTGTGGTGTGATGTGGTGGGGTGGTGTGGTGTGATGTGGTGGGGTGGGGTGATGTGGTGGGGTTGGGTGGGGTGGTGTGATGTGGTGGGGTGGTGTGGTGTGATGTGGTGGGGTGGGGTGGTGTGATGTGGTGTGGTGGGGTGGGGTGATGTGATGTGGTGGGGTGGTGTGGTGTGATGTGGTGGGGTGGTGTGGTGTGATGTGGTGGGGTGGGGTGATGTGGTGGGGTTGGGTGGGGTGGTGTGATGTGGTGGGGGTGGTGTGGTGTGATGTGGTGGGGTGGGGTGGTGTGGTGGGGTGGTGTGATGTGGTGGGGTGGTGTGGTGTGATGTGGTGGGGGTGGGGTGGTGTGGTGGGGTGGTGTGATGTGGTGGGGTGGGGTGGTGTGGTGGGGTGGTGTGATGTGGTGGGGTGGTGTGGTGTGATGTGGTGGGGTGGGGTGATGTGGTGGGGTTGGGTGGGGTGGTGTGATGTGGTGGGGTGGTGTGGTGTGATGTGGTGGGGTGGGGTGGTGTGATGTGGTGTGGTGGGTGGGGTGGGTGGTGTGATGTGGTGGGTGGTGTGGTTGTGATGTGGTGGGGTGGTGTGGTGTGATGTGGTGGGGTGGGGTGATGTGGTGGGGTTGGGTGGGGTGGTGTGATGTGGTGGGGGGGTGTGGTGTGATGTGGTGGGGTGGGGGGTGTGGTGGGGGGGGGTGATGTGTGTGGTGGGGGGGTGGGTGGTGTGATGGGTGGGGTGGTGTGGTGTGATGGGGTGGGGTGGTGTGGTGGGGGGGTGATGTGGGGTGGGGGTGGGTGGGGTGGTGTGATGTGGTGGGGTGGTGTGGTGTGATGTGGTGGGGTGGGGTGTGTGGGGGGTGGTGGGTGTGATGTGTTGGTGGGGTGGGGTGGGTGATGTGGTGGGGTGGGGTGGTGTGGTGGGGTGGTGGGTGGTGTGGTGGTGGGGTGGTGTGATGTGGTGGGGTGTGTGATGTGGTGGGGTGGTGTGGTGGGGTGGTGGGGTGGTGTGATGTGGTGGGGTGTGGTGATGTGGTGGGGTGGTGTGATGTGGTGGGGTGGTGTGGTGGGGGTGGTGTGATGGTGTGATGTGGTGGGGTGTATGTGGTGGGTGGTGTGATGTGGTGGGGTGAGGTTGTGTGGTGGGGTGGTGTGGTGAGGTTGTGTGTGGGATGGGTGGTGTGATGTGGTGGTTGGTGGGGGGTGTGTGTGTGTGGGTATGTGGTGGGGTGTGTGTGGTGGGTGGTGTGATGTGGTGTGGTGTGATTGGTGTGATGTGGTGGGTGGTGTGGTGGGGGGTGGGTGATGTGGTGGGATGGTGTGTGTGGTGGTGTGTGGTTGATGATGTGGTGGGTGGGGTGGGTGTGGTGTGGTGGGTGGGGTGGGGTGGTGTGGTGGGGTGGGGTTGTGATGTGGTGGGGTGGGGTGTGGTGGGGTGGTGGGATGGGTGGTGTGGTGGGGTGGGTGGTGTGGTGGTGTGGTGTGGGTGGTGTGATGTGGGGTGGGGTGGTGTGTGTGGGTGGGGTGGTGTGATGTGGTGGGGTGGGGTGGTGTGTGATGTGATGGGGTGGGGTGGTGTGATGTGGCGTGGTGGGGTGGTGGGGGGTCTTGGTGGGATGTGGTGGGTTGCGGTGGCCTTCATAAGTGCTGCTCGCTAACAGCACTTGCCCCAACAGTCTAAGGCTACACGGGGGGGGGGGGGGGTCTTTTTCTTTGTTTGTGGAGGTGGCAGGGGGTGGAGGGAGGGGTAGAATAGCGTGCAAGGGATGTCGGAGTGCGATCTTTGCTCTGCGGCTGTCTGACAAACCAACAACCCCCCCCTCCTCCTCCTCCAACCTCTCTCTCCCCATGCCCAGCAGATGTTGTATGAAGCCAGGCAACGTTCGGAGAGACGTACCCTTCCCACCACCACATCCTGGACCCCCCACCACCACCACACCACCCGGTGTCGCTTGCACTACAATCGGTCAAACCGCATCACCTCCACCTCCATCACCACGTCCTCCATCACCACCACCACTAACTACACTCCCCCAGCTCGCGATGCCCTTCCCAATACTTGCGCCGGACAGCCTGACTTGGCACAGCCCACTGACACCGATGGAGATGAACTCGGATGCATGCCGTCAGCGCCAAATGTAATATGTATAACAAATATTTTAACAAAAACATTCTCTGCATCAGGGCTCTCCTGTTGGGAGTTATGTGTCGCGTACTTGAGCGATGGACAATAACATTTGAGGATTGAAAGACGAAAGTGCGCGGTCTCACAGCATTTGCTCACAGTAACAATTTCGGCACTTTGTCGTAAAAAAAAACAATTTGTACTGCAGCACAAAAACTGCCTTAATGTTGCATTAATATGACCGTATTTTTGTAACAAATTCGCAACACTTGACTGACGCTTGTAAATAGCGAGGTAGGTGGCTGGGTGCAAAGGTAAATGGTTGGGTGTTTAGGCGAGACAATGATTGGATTGGTGGGTGAGTAGATGGCTGGTTAGATGAGTTGGTTTATATATGGTTCTCAAGTAGGTCTGTGGGTAGTTGAGTGAGTCTGTGGGTTGTTAAGTGTCGGTAGTGAAGCGGGTCTGTAGGTAGCTGAGTGGGATTGAGTGTGTCTGTGGTACGGCTGCGTGTAGTTGTTGATTTGGGAAACCCTTCAATCAATTTAAGAGTATATCCTTGCACTCACACATCATACTGCATTACAACATTACGACCATTTAAAAAAACAACAACAACAATGTAACAAACCATTAAAATCACCACTGAGCAGAAAGATAAAAAACGAACGAAGAGGCTAAGCCTTGGCAGTGTAACTCGCCGACACCCTAGGTACGTCGTCACTTCCGTGAAGGTCACTCGGGAACCTCCTCACCTTCGGAACCTCTCCTCGCTCAACTCGTCCCGATCCTCCTCCTGCTGCCCCCCCCCCCTTCAAGAACCACGTGGGGGTGCTGTGCCCACCCAGAGTTGGACACCCTCACGGGAGGGTGGCGGCCCGCGCCGCCCCCCTCCCTCCCCGAGCTCAGCAGCCGGAGATATCCTTGGGGCGGTTCTTGCGCAGGAATCGCGTGTCGGCCGGGTCGAAGCCCTGCTCCCTGGAGCCGAAGAGCGCCCAGCGCGGGGTGCGCGCCGCGTAGTCGTCCGCCGTGAAGGAGGCGGCGCCCCCGCTCTCGGCGTGCGCGCGCGCCAGCTCCTGGAAGCGCGTGTAGTTGATCCACGTCCACCACTCGCCGTGGCGCTTGAACTGTGGGGAGGGCGCGGTGAAGGTGTGTGAGACGCGGGCTCGACGCGACGCGGATCCTGGGTGACACGGCCTCAATGTGACACAATCTCAACGTGACACAATCTCAATGTGACATGGCCTCAACGTGACAGGTCTCAACACAGCCCCAATGTCACACGGCCTCTGATAGTCCCAGTGTAGTGGTGGACATCACACATACCCCAAAGTTTGAACAAGTGTCTTCACAATCGACCTGTCATGATTAATCGATCCACCAAGTGAAATCGATGCTTCGGCTCGTTCTACTTGGATCAAATCGTACGTGTGCACCGATTGTTTGTAATTCATGCAAATTTTTTGTGGACCAATAGAGCAAACAACACTACAAACGAGACCGAAACAAACAAACAAACAAACGCAATATCCGCCGTTGCAATAATTGGATCGATTTTGCGAACCCGAGATTGCGATGATTGGTTGAATTTTTTTTTGTCTGCAGGAGTGAATCGCTGCAAGCCCCACTTCGCGGGCTTCCTGGTCACTTCGCAATTCAATTCGTCGAATCCAAAGTGATGATTGCGTCGATCTCCCACCGGGATCTCAACGTGCGCCCTAACGACCGTGCTCTTTGACCACAGCAGCGCCGTCCCATCGCCGGCGAGATCCGCAACCTCCGCTGCAATGCAAGTCTGCTTCAGTTGTCATCGCTATCGCCGCTCGTGTTCACGAGCAATTCAAACCAGAGGTCTGAGAACTACCGTATTACACGTACACATGCGGACACAGAGACAATGACCCCCCCCCCCCACCCCCCCCCCCATAGCCTCAATTGACTATTGGGGGAAGTGCTGTTAGCGAGCGCCTATTAAGGCAAACAACCACGCCCGGCCGCCTTTGTCTCCCCAGTGGCGATGGTTTTTACACACGGCATCGGGTACTAAGTTAAGGCTGAGTTGAACTAGGGAAGGCGCAGGAGCGGTTCAGGTATTTGCCACTGATAGTGGCCGTGAGCAAGAATGGGAACGCAGGTCGCCGGGTTCGTAGCGCAGTGCGCTGACCACTACGCTGCCGCTCCGCGTATACATACAGACACAAAGACAAAGATCCCCTGTATAGACTTAGTAGACTGTAGGGGCAAGTGCTGTTAGCGAGCACCTATTAAGGCCGGCACGGCACACGAGGGGGTGGGTGGCCAGCACCACGCCCGGCTACGTTTGTCTCCCCAGTTGCGATGTTTACACACTGCACCAGGCACTCCTTTGAGGCTGAGTCGACCTAGGGGAGGCCCGGGACCGGTTCAATAATCGTCACTGGTGGTTGACCATGAGCGGGATTTGAACTCGGGTCGCAGGGGTTTGCCGCGCAGCGTAGCGCTAACCGCTGCACTACCGCTCGCCACATGCACATGCACACACACGCGCACAGACATAAACGCAGACGCACAAACTCGTGTCACCAAGCACTCTTCACGTAAGAGAACCGCGCTGAATGTGATGTTTTGACGGAGATAAACGAAGGAAGCTTTGAATGTATCAATCTCGCGACGTGACTCTGGTGCCAGGGGGAGGGGGGGGGGGCGTTCCGCGTGTTGGTGTACCGACCGCGCTACTTAGTCACAACATTTCATGCGAGGTCTCTTTAATTAACAAGTAAGGACACTAACACGACAGCCTAATTCTGATTCATGTGAAAATTAGCAAACACCTCCGTGCAAAGTCGTAACAATTTTTTTTTTAAAGACTTAATTGCTTCATATTTGTTTGCCATGCAAGCAAACGTTTACAATTTGATGGTTACCCACAGAACGTGAGACGTAGGAAACATAAAAAGGAAGGCCATTCGGGGTTGAATGAGTAGAATATTTGTTCTAGATTTAAAGTTTTCGTGACTGCAAGGATTCATACTCTTTTTTCGGTAAAGTCACGTAGGTAAAAAAATTAATAAATGAAAACAACTAAATTAAATCACGACGTTTCGGGCGCAACACAAACGTCCGTCTTCAGGTGGGGACAACGCAGCGAAAGCACAACCGCTTAAGTGTGTCTAAGAGATGGCTGTGATGAGGAATTATATAGTTGTGGGGGAAGGAGGGGGGGCATGGTGAGTGTGGGAGGGCGGGGTGTGGGCTGGGAAGTAACGCATGGAGTTCAAACTGAAGCTTTGTGATGCAGGGGCGGAAGTAGATAAGAAAGCTAAGTTAAGCCATCCTTTGTTATGCTGCAGCATTTAATTATTTTTTCCCTAGAATATTTGTTTTTTTATTATGGTGATAATAGATGTGGGTACGAAGAGAGTAAAGCAACAGCAAAGAACGAGGGGTGAATGAGTGCAAGAGTGAATGAACGGGTGAATGAGAGAGTGAGAGCGTGCAGGACGATTGTTGCCGAGTGAAGGTACGAGAGATCGGGTCACAAGGTGAATGAATCATGAAGGAGCGGTGTGGCACTGAAAAAAATACATCTGCCGTGCACCGGTTTAAACGCTTAAAAATACTAATGTATCGCTCGCTCAATGCTCTGCATGGTGTCCATTTTGTTGTGGAACAAATTAAATGACCCACTTTTACCCGAAGCCGCTCGATTATCCAACACTTCGCTCTTTTTGTTATCGATTGCCAGCGAAGCTAACAACAGCGGACACGAGCGAGGGACAATCTGGAGCAATGCATTCTCAGCCAATAATCGCTCTATGGAGCCTTTCATACAAGCGCAGGGAGATAATATACACGTCCAGAAGGTGCAAAAATTAACCAATAACATTACCAAATAGTGATTATAGTGCGTTACAACCCAACTGTATCCTTTCACTGTGAAGAGAAGATGACATTTAAAGGCGTCTTCTTCCTTCGTATGGCATGTAAGTAACAGTTTGTAGAGACGATGTTATAGTTGAATGTTAAGACCATTCAACCAATCCAAGGCGGCAGTAGACGCTGTATGGATTGCAGCGAATCCGCCATGGATGGCGTAACTCGTCGGTGATGCGTTTGATGGTTTGGGCTTTACCACAATTTCCAGATTGGTGAATCTTTGATTTTTCATTTCTGGAACAACGCGGTACGCCTCATCTCCCGTGCTGCGTCCGAGCGCGGATCAGCGTGGGCTCCACAGCCGTCGTGAGAAAGAGAATCGCGGCACTATCCACGGTCGGGTCCTCAACGATATTTGTGTTTGCCAACGTTCGTAGCCGCACCACCATTTCAGACCACGGTCTGAAGGGTGGGCTCATGGTCATCGATGGTAGACAAGATGGCAGCGACGTTTTGGTGGGAAGAATGGTATTCCGTGCCAGCTTGCCCTGCTTTCCGCAATCAGCTTCTGTGCTCGTGACAGGGATTCTCGGAGGTCAACTCGGTCTGAAGCAAGCAACCTCGAGATGACGCGTCGAACATGAATCGAATTAAAAGTACACACAATGTGGGTTTCCAGTGGGGGTCAATGCAGCCTTAAATGAGAACCCAATTAGCAGGCAACGGGACGTTCCACCTCACCTCGCGATTTGACGACACGAATCAAGAGTCGCAGTCTTGGTTCAAGAATCTTTAACATTTTTTAAAAACTGATTAATGCAAGGCCGTAGCCATGGAGTCAACATTGGGGGGGACCAAATATTCCAGGGGGGTCTAGGGGCCCCCCCCACCCCCAGAAAAAAAATCTTAATTTGAATAAAATTGCTGCCATTTCCTGCCCAAAATATTTAAAAAATTCACTAACACATGGGATGGAATTTTTATTTATTTTTTCAATAATGTCTAATAGTGTATTGTATTACATTGCTCTGTTTTTTTCTTTTTTACATTTTCTTGTTTCATTGTATGTAATGACAGAGATTAGGGATTTCTAAAGTACAACCACAACCACAATCATAAAAACATAAATCTATGCAATGTTATATGAAGACAAGTCCAGATATTGTGGCCAAGGTTTAGCAAATTGTTTTTATTTACATAGCATAGAAATTCTTATTTTTTAAATATTGTTTATAGCAATATATTGGAGGGGACATTTTGAGCATATTTGAATATTGGGGGGGATTAGTCCCCCCCAATATATTTTATAATTACGGCCTTGGATTAACATAACATTCCTGGGGTCACGCGAATCCAGCACATACAACATATCGGGATCGGAAAGACACGTTTCTCACGCGTATGGCATGACGCATGAGAGAGCGGATATTAATTAAAAAATCAATGCATCGTTACGTGCCTACTAATTAGGTGCTGCCGTCCGCCTCCTCGCCTGTGTGCGCGTTTAATGGGAACGCAACAACTTGGGGGTGCGTCTCGGCGGAGGGAGCGGGCCCGCGTAAACTTTTGAGCGGTGCGGCGGCGGCTTGATGGAGCTGCGAGAAGCACCGACGGCCCTCGCTGATCGTGAGCTGCGCGGCACGCGCCGGTAGTTCCAGCGCGGCACGCGCCGCTACTCGCCGCCGTGGCCGCTACCGCAGCCGCCGTTTGGACGCTGCTTTTCTCACGCAATTAAAACCTCGCTGGGAAAGAAAAACTAAAGAACGAATGCTAAACACGAATCTGTCTCAGGTGTAGCTTTTACACAGCATTACGTAGACTCACCGAGCTGCAAAACGGGTAGGAAATAATCACGTACAGCCCTTTGTCAATCCACTGCTGGATGAATGTCCTCCGCTCTGCGGTGCCAGTTATAGCAGCTCTTTGAAGTTGGTGGGGGGGGGGTGGAGGGGGACCGGCACTAGTTCAGATGATCATTCGCCACTGATGTTAGCCGTGGCTGGGAATGGAACTCGGGTTTGCAGGATTCTTAGCAAATTGGCACGATCCAATATTATTGGGGCTTTTGTGTTTTATCCGAGTCTCAAGACTCTTTAAATGAAGGGTTTCCGCATTAGGATGTTTGGCCAATTCCATTTGAGCATTCTGTGTGCGTAGAATTTCAGAGGACAGTACAGGGATAAATCCCACACGTACGAGGTCGGTGATGTTCAAAAATCCGCACAGATGGGTTTACAAACCCACTTGCTGCACTGGCATCTCCCGGTGGGTT